GTAGAGGGAGGTGCCTGGCAGTGTAGAGGGAGGTGAGGTGCCTGGCAGTGTAGAGGAGGTGAGGTGCCTGGCAGTGTAGAGGGAGGTGCCTGGCAGTGTAGAGGGAGGTGAGGTGCCTGGCAGTGTAGACGGAGGTGAGGTGCCTGGCAGTGTAGAGGAGGTGAGGTGCCTGGCAGTGTAGAGGAGGTGAGGTGCCTGGCAGTGTAGACGGAGGTGAGGTGCCTGGCAGTGTAGAGGAGGTGAGGTGCCTGGCAGTGTAGACGGAGGTGAGGTGCCTGGCAGTGTAGAGGGAGGTGCCTGGCAGTGTAGAGGGAGGTGAGGTGCCTGGCAGTGTAGAGGGAGGTGAGGTGCCTGGCAGTGTAGAGGGAGGTGAGGTGCCTGGCAGTGTAGAGGGAGGTGCCTGGCAGTGTAGAGGGAGGTGAGGCGCCTGGCAGTGTAGAGGAGGTGAGGTGCCTGGCAGTGTAGAGGGAGGTGCCTGGCAGTGTAGAGGGAGGTGCCTGGCAGTGTAGAGGGAGGTGAGGTGCCTGACATTGTAGAGGGAGGTGCCTGGCAGTGTAGAGGGAGGTGAGGTGCCTGGCAGTGTAGAGGTGGTGAGGTGCCTGGCAGTGTAGAGGGAGGTGAGGTGTCTGGCAGTGTAGAGGGAGGTGAGGTGCCTGGCAGTGTAGAGGGAGGTGCCTGGCAGTGTAGAGGGAGGTGAGGTGCCTGGCAGTGTAGAGGGAGGTGCCTGGCAGTGTAGAGGGAGGTGAGGTGCCTGGCAGTGTAGAGGGAGGTGAGGTGCCTGGCAGTGTAGAGGGAGGTGAGGTGCCTGGCAGTGTAGAGGGAGGTGCCTGGCAGTGTAGAGGGAGGTGAGGTGCCTGGCAGTGTAGAGGAGGTGAGGTGCCTGGCAGTGTAGAGGGAGGTGCTTGGCAGTATAGAGGGGGTGAGGTGCCTGGCAGTGTAGAGGAGGTGAGGTGCCCGGCAGTGTAGAGGAGGTGAGGTGCCTGGCAGTGTAGAGGGAGGTGAGGTGCCTGGCAGTGTAGAGGGAGGTGCCTGGCAGTGTAGAGGGAGGTGCCTGGCAGTGTAGAGGGAGGTGCCTGGCAGTGTAGAGGGAGGTGCCTGGCAGTGTAGAGGGAGGTGAGGTGCCTGGCAGTGTAGAGGGAGGTGCCTGGCAGCGTAGAGGAGGTGAGGTGCCTGGCAGTGTAGAGGGAGGTGAGGTGCCTGGCAGTGTAGAGGAGGTGAGGTGCCTGGCAGTGTAGAGGAGGTGAGGTGCCTGGCAGTGTAGAGGGAGGTGCCTGGCAGTGTAGAGGGAGGTAAGGTGCCTGGCAGTGTAGAGGGAGGTGCCTGGCAGTGTAGAGGGAGGTGAGGTGCCTGGCAGTGTAGAGGGAGGTGCCTGGCGGTGTAGAGGGAGGTGCCTGGCAGTGTAGAGGGAGGTGCCTGGCAGTGTAGAGGGAGGTGCCTGGCAGTGTAGAGGGAGGTGAGGTGCCTGGCAGTGTAGAGGGAGGTGCCTGGCAGTGTAGAGGGAGGTGCCTGGCAGTGTAGAGGGAGGTGCCTGGCAGTGTAGAGGGAGGTGCCTGGCAGTGTAGAGGGAGGTGCCTGGCAGTGTAGAGGGAGGTGAGGTGCCTGGCAGTGTAGAGGGAGGTGCCTGGCAGTGTAGAGGAGGTGAGGTGCCTGGCAGTGTAGAGGGAGGTGCCTGGCAGTGTAGAGGGAGGTAAGGTGCCTGGCAGTGTAGAGGGAGGTGCCTGGCAGTGTAGAGGGAGGTGAGGTGCCTGGCAGTGTAGAGGGAGGTGCCTGGCAGTGTAGAGGGAGGTGAGGTGCCTGGCAGTGTAGAGGGAGGTGAGGTGCCTGGCAGTGTAGAGGGAGGTGAGGTGCCTGGCAGTGTAGAGGGAGGTGAGGTGCCTGGCAGTGTAGAGGGAGGTGCCTGGCAGTGTAGAGGGAGGTGAGGTGCCTGGCAGTGTAGAGGAGGTCTCTGGCTCACACACTCCCACCTGAGCCTTCACAAGTGCTCACAGTGGACGGGGTTAAGAACAAGCGGGACACTGAATTGATGATTAATTCGCCACCCAGCAACTGTAGACCAGCTGCAGCGAAGGATATGAACACAGTCAGTACATGTACATGATAATATATATACAGTCAGTACATGTACATAATAATATATATACAGTCAGTACAAGTACATAAGCACAAATACAGTAAGTACAAGGACTTACAAGTACAAGAACCGTTAACAAGGACACACACACACGACAACATGAACAAATACACACACACGGCAACATGAACAAATACACACACACACATACACGGCAACATGAACAAACACACACACACACGGCAACATGAACACACACACACACGGCAACATGAACAAATACATACACACACACATACACGGCAACATGAACACACACACACACGGCAACATGAACAAATACACACACATACACACACGGCAACATGAACAAATACACACACACACACACACGGCAACATGAACAAATACACACACATACGGCAACATGAACAAACACACACATACACGGCAACATGAACAAACACACACATACACGGCAACATGAACAAACACACACATACACGGCAACATGAACAAACACACACATACACGGCAACATGAACAAACACACACACACACGGCAACATGAACAAACACACACATACACGGCAACATGAACAAACACACACATACACACGGCAACATGAACAAACATACACATACACGGCAACATGAACAAACACACACATACACGGCAACATGAACAAATACACACATACACGGCAACATGAACAAATACACACATTCACGGCAACATGAACAAATACACACATACATGGCAACATGAACAAACACACACATACACGGCAACATGAACAAACACACACATACACGGCAACATGAACAAATACACACATACATGGCAACATGAACAAACATACACATACACGGCAACATGAACAAACACACACATACACAGCAACATGAACAAACACACACATACACGGCAACATGAACAAATACACACACACACGACAACATGAACAAATACACACACACGGCAACATGAACAAATACACACACATACACGGCAACATGAACAAATACACACACATACACGGCAACATGAACAAATACACACGTATGAACAAGTATGCCGCGCCATCATGGAGCCCCCACCTGAAGAAACACATAAAGAAACTGGAGAAGGTTCAGAGGTTTGCGACGAGGCTTGTCCCAGAGTTACGAGGGATGGGATATGAAGAGCGGCTGAAGGAACTGAACCTAACGACACTAGAGAAAAGAAGGGAGAGAGGAGATATGATAGGGACATATAAAATACTCAGGGGAATTGACAAAGTGGAAATAGATGAAATGTTCACACGTAATAATAACAGAACGAGGGGACATGGGTGGAAACTGGAAACTCAGATGAGTCACAGAGATGTTAGGAAGTTTTCTTTTAGCGTGAGAGTAGTAGAAAAATGGAATGCACTTGGGGAACAGGTTGTGGAAGCAAATACTATTCATACTTTTAAAACTAGGTATGATAGGGAAATGGGACAGGAGTCATTGCTGTAAACAACCGATAGCTAGAAAGGCGGGATCCAAGAGTCAATGCTCGATCCTGCAAGCACATATAGGTGAGTACACACATACACTGCAACATGAACAAATACACACATACATGGCAACATGAACAAACATACACATACAAGGCAACATGAACAAACACACACATACACGGCAACATGAAGAAATACACACACATACACACGGCAACATGAACAAATACACACATACACGGCAACATGAACAAACACACACACACACGGCAACATGAACAAACACACACATACACGGCAACATGAAGAAATACACACACATACACACGGCAACATGAACAAATACACACATACACGGCAACATGAACAAACACACACACACACGCCAACATGAACAAACACACACATACACGGCAACATGAACAAACACACACATACACGGCAACATGAACAAACACACATACACGGCAACATGAACAAACACACATACACGGCAACATGAACAAATACACACACATACACGGCAACATGAACAAACACACATACACGGCAACAAGAACAAACACACACATACACGGCAACATGAACAAACACACATACACGGCAACATGAACAAACACACATACACGGCAACATGAACAAACACACACATACACGGCAACATGAACAAATACACACATACACGGCAACATGAACAAACACACATACACGGCAACATGAACAAACACACACACACGGCAACATGAACAAACACACATACACGGCAACATGAACAAACACACATACACGGCAACATGAACAAATACACATACACGGCAACATGAACAAACACACATACACGGCAACATGAACAAACACACATACACGGCAACATGAACAAACACACATACACGGCAACATGAACAAATACACACACATACACTCACGTAACAACAAACTCGTGCCTGCAAATCGTCGGCAAAAGGAGGCAAATATTTTCCAAGAAATTGAATCATTTATTCCAATTAGGTGTCTGCGAGGCACATTAGGAGCAGGAGCGTCTCGCGCCCCATTAAGGCGCCCAGAAAAGAAAACACAAGAACCTATATATTTTAGTCTGTAAAAAACAATATATCGTTAATGTGTCTGGCGGCGTCTGGCAGCGTAGGTCATTAGGAGTCTGCAAGTTTAAATCAAGAGACAATGGCAAGTTGATGATAATATAACAGTTGCTGCTGATGCAATGCAATTTTGTCAACAGTAGAAATATTCCTCGTGCAATCTGAGCAGCAAAGTGGCTTAGATAGGAGGCTGTAGTTGGGTTAGGGCGGGCGGCTTGAGGAGAGACGGCCTGGGAACCTTCCCAGTTTGTGACCCCGTAAAACAAATGATCAACAAAGTGAGCGTTACTAACCGTCTTCCTCCCATGCCACCCCCCTCACCACCACCCAACCCGTCTTTTCATGACTACCGCCCTGGACGCTGCCCCGGGGGATGTCGCAGCTGCCCGGGGGATGCCCCAGCTGCCCGGGGGATGCAACAGCTGCCCGGGGGATGCCCCAGCTGCCCGGGGGATGACACAGCTGCCCGGGGGATGCCCCAGCTGCCCGGGGGATGCCGCAGCTGCCCGGGGATGCCTCAGCGTCCCGAGGGATGCACAAGCTGCCCGGGGGAGGACACAGCTGCCCGGGGATGACACAGCTGCCCCGGGGATACCCCAGCTGCCCGAGGATGCCCCAGCTGCCCGGGGGATGACACAGCTGCCCGGGGATGACACAGCTGCCCGGGGGATGCCCCAGCTGCCCGGGGAATGCCCCAGCTGCCCGGGGATGCCACAGCTGCCCGGGGGATGCCCCAGCTGCCCGGGGGATGCCACAGCCGCCCGGGGGATGCCACAGCTGTCCGGGGGATGCCACAGCTGCCCGGGGGATGCCACAGCCGCCCGGGGGATGCCACAGCTGCCCGGGGGATGCCACAGCTGCCCGGGGGATGCCGCAGCTGCCCGGGGATGACACAGCTCCCCGGAGGATGCCTCAGCTGCCCGGGGATGACACTGCTGCGCGGGGATGCCACAGCTGCCCGGGGGATGACACTGCTGCCCCGGGATGACACAGCTGCCCGGGGGATGCCCCAGCTGCCCGAGGGATGCCCCAGCTGCCCGAGGATGCCACAGCTCCCCGGGATGCCACAGCTGCCCAAGGGATGCCCCAGCTGCCCAAGGGATGCTCCAGCTGCCCGGGGATGCCCCAGCTGCCCGGGGGATGCGCCAGCTGCCCCTGGTATGCTACAGCTGCCCCGGGATGCCACAGCTGCCCGGGGATGACCCAGCTGCACGAGGGATGCCACAGCTGCCCGGGGATGACACAGCTGCCCGGGGATGACCCAGCTGCCCGGGGATGACCCAGCTGCCCGGGGATGCCACAGCTGCCCGGGGATGACCCAGCTGCCCGGGGATGACCCAGCTGCCCGGGGATGCCACAGCTGCCCGGGGATGACCCAGCTGCCCGGGGGATGCCACAGCTGCCTGGGGATGACCCAGCTGCCCGGGGGATGCCACAGCTGCTCGGGGGATGCCACAGCTGCCCGGGGGATGCCACAGCTGCCTGGGGATGACCCAGCTGCCCGGGGGATGCCACAGCTGCCCGGGGGATGCCACAGCTGCCCGGGGATGACCCAGCTGCCCGGGGATGACCCAGCTGCCCGGGGGATGCCACAGCTGCCCGGGGATGCCCCAGCTGCCCGGGGGATGACACAGCTGCCCCGGGGATGCCAGAGCTGCCCGGGGGAAGCCACAGCTGCCCAGGGGATGCCCCAGCTGCCCCGGGGATGCCAGAGCTGCCCGGGGGATGCCCCAGCTGCCCAGTGGATGCCCCAGCTGCCCGGGGGAAGCCACAGCTGCCCAGGGAATGCCCCAGCTGCCCAGGGGATGCCCCAGCTGCCCGGGGGAAGCCACAGCTGCTCAGGGGATGCCCCAGCTGCCCGGGGGAAGCCACAGCTGCCCAGGGGATGCCCCAGCTGCCCGGGGGAAGCCACAGCTGCCCAGGGGATGCCCCAGCTGCCCGGGGGATGCCCCAGCTGCCCCGGGGACAACATGGTCCGCCTGCCCCTCACACACCCACAACATGGTCCGCCTGCCCCTCACACACCCTCAACATGGTCCGCCTGCCCCTCACACACCCACAACATGGTCCGCCTGCCCCTCACACACCCACAACATGGTCCGCCTGCCCCTCACACACCCCTCAACATGGTCCACCTGCCCCTCACACACCCACAACATGGTCCGCCTGCCCCTCACACACCCCTCAACATGGTCCACCTGCCCCTCACACACCCCTCAACATGGTCCGCCTGCCCCTCACACACCCACAACATGGGCCACCTGCCCCTCACACACCCTCAACATGGTCCACCTGCCCCTCACACACCCTCAACATGGTCCGCCTGCCCCTCACACACCCACAACATGGTCCACCTGCCCCTCACACACCCTCAACATGGTCCGCCTGCCCCTCACACACGCACAACATGCTCCGCCTGCCCCTCACACACCCTCAACATGGTCCACCTGCCCCTCACACACCCACAACATGGGCCACCTGCCCCTCACACACCCACAACATGGTCCGCCTGCCCCTCACACACCCTCAACATTGTCCGCTTGCCCCTCACACGCCCACAACATGGTCCGCCTGCCCCTCACACACCCACAACATGGTCCGCCTGCCCCTCACTCACCCCTAAAAATGGTCCACCTGCCCCTCACACACCCACAACATGGTCCGCCTGCCCCTCACACACCCCTCAACATGGTCCACCTGCCCCTTACACACCCCTCAACATGGTCCGCCTGCCCCTCACACACCCACAACATGGGCCACCTGCCCCTCACACACCCTCAACATGGTCCACCTGCCCCTCACACACCGTCAACATGGTCCGCCTGCCCCTCACACACGCACAACATGGTCCGCCTGCCCCTCACACACCCTCAACATGGTCCGCCTGCCCCTCACACACCCCTCAACATGGTCCGCCTGCCCCTCACACACTCACAACATGGTCCGCCTGCCCCTCACACACGCACAACATGGTCCGCCTGCCCCTCACACACCCCTCAACATGGTCCACCTGCCCCTCACGCACCCACAACATGGTCCACCTGCCCCTCACACTCACAACATGGTCCGCCTGACCCCTCACACACCCACAACATGGTCCGCCTGCCCCTCACACACCCACAACATGGTCCGCCTGCCCCTCACACTCACAACATGGTCCGCCTGCCCCTCACACACCCACAACATGGTCCACCTGCCCCTCACACACCCACAACATGGTCCACCTGCCCCTCACACACCCACAACATGGTCCACCTGCCCCTCACACACCCACAACATGGTCCGCCTGCCCCTCACACTCACAACATGGTCCGCCTGCCCCTCACACACCCACAACATGGTCCACCTGCCCCTCACACTCACAACATGGTCCGCCTGCCCCTCACACACCCACAACATGGTCCGCCTGCCCCTCACACTCACAACATGGTCCGCCTGCCCCTCACACACCCACAACATGGTCCACCTGCCCCTCACACACCCACAACATGGTCCACCTGCCCCTCACACACCCACAACATTGTCCGCCTGCCCCTCACACACCCACAACATGGTCCGCCTGCCCCTCACACACCCACAACATGGTCCGCCTGCCCCTCACACACCCACAACATGGGCCACCTGCCCCTCACACACCCACAACATGGTCCGCCTGCCCCTCACACACCCACAACATGGGCCACCTGCCCCTCACACACCCACAACATGGGCCACCTGCCCCTCACACACCCACAACATGGGCCACCTGCCCCTCACACACCCACAACATGGTCCACCTGCCCCTCACACACCCACAACATGGTCCACCTGCCCCTCACACACCCACAACATGGTCCACCTGCCCCTCACACACCCACAACATGGTCCACCTGCCCCTCACGCACCCACAACATGGTCCACCTGCCCCTCACACACCCACAACATGGTCCGCCTGCCCCTCACACACCCACAACATGGGCCACCTGCCCCTCACACACCCACAACATGGGCCACCTGCCCCTCACACACCCACAACATGGGCCACCTGCCCCTCACACACCCACAACATGGTCCACCTGCCCCTCACACACCCACAACATGGTCCACCTGCCCCTCACACACGCACAACATGGGCCGCCTGCCCCTCACACACCCACAACATGGTCCACCTGCCCCTCACACACCCACAACATGGTCCACCTGCCCCTCACACACCCACAACATGGGCCACCTGCCCCTCACACACCCACAACATGGGCCACCTGCCCCTCACACACCCACAACATGGTCCACCTGCCCCTCACACACCCACAACATGGTCCACCTGCCCCTCACACACCCACAACATGGGCCACCTGCCCCTCACACACCCACAACATGGTCCACCTGCCCCTCACACACCCACAACATGGTCCACCTGCCCCTCACACACCCACAACATGGTCCACCTACCCCTCACACACCCACAACATGCTCCTTCGCATATTGTCCAAATTTTCGGAACCATCCGCATTCACGGTAGTGCAGTGATGAGCACAGTGATGAGCACAGTGATGATCACAGTGATGAGCACAGTGTTGAGCACTGTGATGAGCACAGTGATGAGCGCAGTGATGAGCACAGTGATGAGCACAGTGATGAGCACAATGATGAGCGCAGTGATGAGCACAGTGATGAGCGCAGTGATGAGCACATTGATGAGCACAAGGATGAGCATAGTCATGAGCACAGTGATGAGCACAATGATGAGCGCAGTGATGAGCACAGTGTTGAGCACAGTGATGGGCTCAGTGATGATCACAGTGATGAGCACTGTGATCATCACATTGATGAGCACAGTGATGATCACAGTGATAATCACAGTGATGAGCACAGTGATGATCACAATGATGAGCACAGTGATGGGCTCAGTGATGATCACAGTGATGAGCACAGTGATCATCACATTGATGAGCACAGTGATGATCACAGTGATGATCACAGTGATGAGCACAGTGATGAGCACAGTGATGATCACAATGATGAGCACAGTGATGGGCTCAGTGATGATCACAGTGATGAGCACAGTGATGATCACAATGATGAGCACAGTGATGATCACAGTGATGATCACAGTGATGATCACAGTGATGAGCACAGTGATGAGCACAGTGATGATCACAATGATGAGCACAGTGATGATCACAATGATGAGCACAGTGATGGGCTCAGTGATGATCACAGTGATGAGCACAGTGATGATCACAAGGATGAGCATAGTCATGAGCACAGTGATGATCCACAATGATGACACAGTGATGAGCACAGTGATGATCACAATGATGAGCACAGTGATGATCACAGTGATGATCACAGTGATGAGCACAGTGATGAGCACAGTGATGATCACAATGATGAGCACAGTGATGGGCTCAGTGATGATCACAGTGATGAGCACAGTGATAATCACATTGATGAGCACAGTGATGATCACAGTGATGAGCACAGTGATGATCACAATGATGAGCACAGTGATGATCACAGTGATGATCACAGTGATGAGCACAGTGATGAGCACAGTGATTATCACAATGATGAGCACAGTGATGATCACAGTGATATGAACAGTGATGATCACAGTGATATGAACAGTGATGAGCACACGATGAAAACAGTGATGATCACAGTGATGAACACGGTGATGAGCGCAGTGATGAGCACGTTGATGAGCACAATGATGGGCTCAGTGATGATCACAGTGATGAGCACTGTGATGAACACATTGATGAGCACATTGATGAGCACGGTGATAAGCACAGTGATGAACACAGTGATGAGCACAGTGATGAACACTTGATGAGCACAGTGATGAGCACAGTGATGAGCACAGTGATGAGCACAGTGATGAGGGACTGTGATGAGCACAGTGATGATCGCAGTGTTGATCACAGTGTTGATCGTAGTGATGATCACAGTGATGAGCACAGTGATGATCGCAGTGTTGATCACAGTGTTGATCACAGTGTTGATCACAGTGATGATCACAGTGATGAGCGCAGTGATGAGCGCAGTGATGAGCACAGTGATGAGCACAGTGATGATCGCAGTGTTGATCACAGTGTTGATCGTAGTGATGATCACAGTGATGAGCACAGTGATGATCGCAGTGTTGATCACAGTGTTGATCGTAGTGATGATCACAGTGATGAGCACAGTGATGATCGCAGTGTTTGATCACAGTGTTGATCACAGTGTTGATCACAGTGATGATCACAGTGATGAGCGCAGTGATGAGCGCGTGATGAGCACAGTGATGAGCACAGTGATGATCGCAGTGTTGATCACAGTGTTGATCGTAGTGATGATCACAGTGATGAGCACAGTGATGATCGCAGTTCTGAGGTTAGTGTTGATCGTAGTGATGATCACAGTGATGAGCACAGTGATGATCGCAGTGTTGATCACAGTGTTGATCACAGTGTTGATCACAGTGATGATCACAGTGATGAGCGCAGTGATGAGCGCAGTGATGAGCACAGTGATGAGCACAGTGATGATCGCAGTGTTGATCACAGTGTTGATCGTAGTGATGATCACAGTGATGAGCACAGTGATGATCGCAGTGTTGATCACAGTGTTGATCGTAGTGATGATCACAGTGATGAGCACAGTGATGAGCACAGTGATGATCGCAGTGTTGATCACAGTGTTGATCACAGTGATGATCACAGTAATGATCACAGTGATGAATGATGATAGAGTTACAAGATACGAGCTAGATGGGTTGTGATTGCGAAGTCGGATTGCGAAAGGGATCTGGGAGTTATGATTAGTAAGAATTTAACAAAAGGATCAATGCATAAATGTTCGTAATAAGGCAATCGGACACTTGGATTTATTAATCGCAGCGTTAGTAACAAGACACCTGGTGTGGTTCTCAAGCTATATATTGCTCTAGTTAGGCCCCATTTAGATTAGGCAGTTCAGTTTTGGTCGCCATATTATAGAATGGATATAAATTCACTTGAAAGTGTCCAGCGTAGGATGACTAAGTTAATTCCCCAAATTAGAAATCTTTCATATGAAGAAAGATTAACAAAGCTTAAGTTGCATTCACTGGAGAGGAAGAGCGAAGAGAGGTTAGGGGTGACATGATAGAGGTTTACAAGTGGATGAATGGACATAACCGGGGGGATATTAATAGGGTATTAAAAGTATCAACACAGGACAGAACACGAAAAACAATGGATATAAATTGGATAAGTTTAGATTTAGGGAAAGACTGGGGTAAAATACTGGTTCAGTAACAGGGTTGTTGATTTGTGGAACCAATTGCCGCGTAACATTGTGGAGGTGGGGTCCCTCGATGTTTCAAGCACGGGTTGGACAAGTATATGAGTGGGATTGGGTGGTTTATAGAATAGGAGCTGCCTCGTATGGGCCAATAGGCCTTTCTGCAGTTACCTTTGTTCTTATGTTCTTAACATCATTTCCTCCCACGCTAATGAAAATAATGGGATTGTTCCCATTACCAGCCATAATATCATTCATGTTGTTTATAATATCAACAATGCCAGCTCCGGGATAGCAAAACCCTTAACCTGTTCCCCCTATCTCTAGCACAAAACGTTCTATCCAAATACCTTATAGTGGGAATCTCCCACAACTAATGTTTGCTTAGGTACTACCTTTACTTTCTGAGGGGCCTGCGCTTCCTTTCTCTTCGTTTGCTTTCCCTTTTCGCGCGATCCACAGTCTCTCCACCAGCACTCGTCCTCCAAAACGTTCAAATGAATTTGAAGTTGCTATGGCGTTTGAAGGCGGCTTTTATCAAAGTCTTCTTAAGGCCCCTGTTCTTCGCAACTCTCCAAGACGAGGTCCCTTTACTGCTGGTCTCCTCCCTCGTTACTTCTCGTTGTTTTGTTAAGCTGACGCACCTCCTCCAGCAGAGAGGAGGTGCAAGTGTGATTATGTAATTATGCAATTATGTAATGTGAACATCAGCAGCGGCTTCTATAATTTATATCCGTTATGATTGATCAGTTAAAGGGCGATTCAAGTAATATCATTGATACACATTTTTCATACTAGTACCTTGTTAATATCCATTATCTCATTATACTCCCTATTAATATCCATTATCTCATTATACTCCCTATTAATATCCACTATCTCATTATACTCCCTATTAATATCCATTATCTCATTATACTCCCTATTAATATCCATTATTTCATTATTCTCCCTATTAATATCCATTATTTCATTATTCTCCCTATTAATATTCATTATCTCATTATACTCCCTATTAATATCCACTATCTCATTATACTCCCTATTAATATCCACTATCTCATTATACTCCCTATTAATATCCACTATCTCATTATACTCCCTATTAATATCCACTATCTCATTATACTCCCTATTTATATCCATTATTTCATTATACTCCCTATTAATATCCACTATCTCATTATACTCCCTATTAATATCCACTATCTCATTATACTCCCTATTAATATCCACTATCTCATTATACTCCCTATTAATATCCACTATCTCATTATACTCCCTATTAATATCCATTATTTCATTATACTCCCTATTAATATCCACTATCTCATTATACTCCCTATTAATATCCACTATCTCATTATACTCCCTATTAATATCCATTATCTCATTATTCTCCCTATTAATATCCATTATCTCATTATACTCCCTATTAATATCTATTATCTCATTATTCTCCCTATTAATATCCACTATCTCATTATACTCCCTATTAATATCCACTTAATATCCTATTAATATCCAGTCGGTCTGTCCTGGACCACTGTCAAGTCAACTGTGATGACAGTGTTGATTGATAAAGATTAAGCCACCCAAGAGGTGGCACGGGCATGAATAGCCCGTAAGATGAGAGGACGTTGTTGTTCTTGTTGTTATGGTTTTTAGATTTAGCAACTCAGGACGAAATGTCCATGTAGCACGGGCTATGGTGAGCCCGTAATTGAGTTCGGTTATTCGTGATAACTTTGTTATCTGATTTTTGGGTAAAAGTTTGAAATAGAGATGGGGATTCTTTCTTTTTTCCTGTTTGTTTATCGCTTCTGTTTTAGTGCACTGGTTTTAGTCTTGTTTTAATAACATTATCTTGGTGGCGGATGTAGATGCAGAATATTCACTAGTGAGTCCCATTCCTCAACAGCTTTTCTAATCATTGTAGTCGCGGTGGAATGTGCATCTATTGCAGCTGCTGTCGTTGGATTAATGTTGAGTTTGATGCGCAGGGCTTCAGTAGCTTCACATTGCAGTAAGTAGTGCAATAGTGGCGCCTCTGCTTCTGTTCCACAGATGTGACACTCTTTAACTATTGGGTTCATTACCTCCCAGCAGCACTTGTAACCAAGTCTGAGTCTGTGTATGCTACTGCAATGTCTCCGGATATCTTTTTGTCGGGCTTGAAAGAGTAGTGAGTAGTACCCAGTTGCTTGTTCGTACCATATCGCAGTGGATCTTCCTTCCGCTACTTTGGCTCTGTGGCGACTTGTGATAGTTGAGAATATTTTCTTCTTGATTTGCTCCTGAATCTGTGAAAAACTTGGAGGTATTTGAACCTGTACAACAGGTAGAGCAGCGGCAGTTTTTGCTAGTGAGTCTGCCTTTTCATTACCATCTATGCCAATGTGACTTGGTATCCAATTTAGTGTGATTGACAGCCCTAGATTATGGGCTTCTTTTCCTATTCGTTGGATTTCTGTGAGGAGTTGTATATTATCTCTGTGTTGACTGGATAACAATTCCTGGAGCGAAGATTTAGAGACGGTATGAATGATGACATCATGTAAATTCTTTTCAATTGTATAATTTATGGCCTCCTTCTAAAAATATTAAATAAATAAAAAAGAAATAAAATTAACGAATTAAATGCTCTTGTCTGCACAGAAAAAATAGATATTATTGCACTTACTGAAACGTGGATGAATGAAGAAAATAGAGAACTATTAGCTGAATATCAAATAAATGGATTTAAACTATTTCACACAGATAGATATATTAGACGAGGAGGGGGAGTAGCCATATATGTTAGGGACAATTTGAAATGTAGTCTCAAAGAGGGAATCAAAACTGAGCCACACACAGAAACTATTTGGATAGAATTATACGAAAAAGCAAATAATATTATAATAGGAGTTATATATAGGCCACCAAATTTAGACAGAATGGAAGCAAAGCACCTATGGGATGAAATATCTAGGGCATCTAGATCTAACAGTATTTACGTCATGGGTGACTTTAATTTTAGTGGAATAAACTGGTTGAACAAAACAAGGAATAGTGAAGCAGAAGATTTTCTAGAATTAATTGACGATTGCTTTCTTACGCAACACATTAAGGAACCAACACGGGAAAATAATATTTTAGATTTAGTGTTAACTAACAGGGAAACACAAATTAATGACATCGAAATAGGGAGTGAGCTAGGGAACAGTGATCACAAAGAAATCAGATTTAGCATAGAATGGAATAGACCTGTAGGAGAAAATTCTGTTAAAGTGCCAGATTTTCGAAAAGCTGATTTTAATAGCCTTAGAAATTTTTTTGGGTCAAATTGATTGGAAAGTCTTGGGTATGGGGTGTGGGCCGGTCTTGGAGCGAGACATGAACCCAGCGATAGGTGACGTAAATGGGGATTTTGATGTGGATTCAATATATAACTTATTTAAGAATATTCTAAACAAAGCACAGGAACGTAGTATACCATACAAATTGAATAGATCGAATACTAATGACCCAAAGTGGATAACAAAGAATTTGAAGAACCTTATAGGTAAAAAGAGAGCTTGGTACAAAAGGATTAAAAATGGGGAGGTCACTTAGAACAGGAATTCGTACAACTGGTTAGAAATGTTAAAAAAAGAGATAAGGAAAGCAAAAAGAAACTATGAAGTTCGCATAGCAGGGCAAGCAAAGACAAATCCTAAAGGGTTTTTTCAGTTATATCGTACTAAGACTAGGGAAAGGATAGGTCCATTAAAAACTGAGACAGGTCAAATAACAGATAGTGATGAAGAGATGAGTAGTATTTTTAATAAATATTTGTATCTGTATTTACTAAAGAGGAACTTAACAATATGCCTTCAGCCGAACAAGTCTGTGGGTGGGGACGAGGACAGGTTGACGAGTTTAGCAGTTACCAGGGAGGATGTTCTTAAACAAATAGTAAAACTCAAACCAAACAAATCCCCAGGGCCGGATGAAGTGTTTGCCAGGGTGCTTAAGAATGCAAAGAGGAGCTTTGTGACCCACTGTCAACCATATTTAATAAATCAATAGAGTCAGAGTGCCAGAGTTTTGGAAAGTTGCTAATGTGATACCAGTTTTAAGAAAGGAGATAGATCACTTGCGTCTAGCTATCGACCAATTAGCCTAACGTCTATTGTGGGAAAGTTACTCGAATCTATAATAGCAAATAAAATTCGTCTTCATCTTGAAAAACATAAATTAATAATTGAGTCGCAACATGGTTTTATAAATGGCCGTTCATGTTTAACAAATTTGTTATCTTTTTATTCTAGCATTGTTGAGGCAGTTGATAGTGGTAAGGATTGCGATGTTGTGTACCTTGACTTTAGCAAAGCTTTTGATACAGTGCCACATGAAAGACTGATTAAAAAGTTAGAGTCTCATGGTATTGGGGGTGCTATATTAAGCTGGATTAGGGCATGGCTATACCAAAGGAAACA